TCGCCCCTAAACAAAGCCCATGGCGGCGTTGCAGACTTCACTTCAGTTTTAGACAGAGAGAGAAAAATACCCTTTAGTGTATTAGAGAGACAGAGACAGAGACAGAGAGATTTCAGAATCTGATTCCCAATTCGACCTCTTTTCGACCTCTTTTCTACCTCCCCCCCCCCTTTCTTTTCTCTTGTAGTACGAAGAATTTGATTAAGAATTTCGAGAATTTGAGAAGGTAAGGAGAAAAAGTTGGAAAGGAATTGATTGATACATACCCTTTTTACAACTCTGGCTTTCGATCGCCCTTGAGAGGTTGTTTCTGATATGGATTTTAATTCCAAATCAGGAATAGTATCTCCGGTGGAAATATGGCCGGTTTTTTCCCACTAGGCGGCGGAAGAGAACCCAATTATCACCTTCCCACTACCACCACCACGGACGGATTATTTTGGTACAGAAATTATGAGAGCCTTGGAATATGGCAGCAACAGCAGGTGCAGCAGCAAGCGGGAGAAGGGTTTGTTTACTCGGGCGATGAATCGCCTCCAAGATCGTCGTTGGTGATGCTGAGATCCGGCAGAAACGGGGGAGGGCAAGTAATAAGCTGCCAAGACTGTGGAAATCAAGCCAAAAAGGATTGCCTTCACATGCGATGTAGAACTTGCTGTAAAAGTCGTGGCTTTGACTGTGAAACCCACGTCAAAAGTACTTGGGTTCCGGCCTCCAAACGCCGTGAGCGACACCTCCGCAGCGACGCCACTAATCTCAAACGACCTCGAGACAACACCGCCGCTTCCTCAGGTACAATCAAATTAATTCTTGCTCTTTTCATTTTTATTTTTATTTTTATATATTATATTTTTTTAGATTTCTTGTGAGGGAGGGCTTTGTTTTGGAAGTTTTTCCAAATTCCAGCAAGACCCACATCGATTTTGGTCATGATTGACAGAATCAATCTCTCTCTTTCTCTAAAATGGTCTCTCTCTTTTTTTTTTTTTTTTTTTTTTTTTTTTTTTTTTTTTTTTTTTTTTTTTTTTTTTTTTTTTTTTAATTTTGGTTTTAGGGTTAGAAATGGGGAATTTTCCGATGGAAGTGAGCTCAACGGCGGTGTTTCGGTGCGTGCGGATGACAACGTTGGACGAAACCAACGACCAATTTGCTTACCAAACAGCCGTCAACATCGGAGGCCATACCTTCAAGGGCATTCTTTACGACCACGGCCCTGAACAACAACAACAACCACCACCACCACCCAACTCCGCCTCCCCCGACGGTGGTGCCCTCCTCATCACCGCCCCCACCACCACCATGGAATTGCCGCCCATCAGCGCCGCATTGCTCGATCCTCCTCCGCCGTACCCAGCTCCTCTGAACACCTACGTCGCCGCCGGTACGCAATTTTTTCTTCCCCCAACGTCTTAATGTTGTAGCGAATTTTAAGAGATCGAAGAGAAATAGCTGAAATTGAGAAGGGGGAATGAAGGAAGTATATAATTTTTTATGATAAATTTATAAGCTTGTAATTTTTCAAGAGTTCGCATTAATATGCCGCCATTGTTGGAACTTCGATGCAACCTTTTCCTTTTTTTTTTTCTTTCTTCTCGGTTTCGTATTTCGTAATTCTCAATCTCTCAAACCCTTTTATTTTTAATTAATTATATGATTTCAATCTATTTTGATTGATTATTTAATGTTTTATACCTATGTTTTAAATGAAATTTTGAATTTTAAAATTTAAATTACAAGTTTCATAGTACAGAGATCATTAAAACGAGGAAATTATTCTATGTTTTTTTTATATAAAAATAATGTGAACAGCATGTCAATCAATCACAATTAATGTATTTAGTGAATGAAAAATGTGAAATGCTGTTGCTAGACAACTATGAATGTGACAATTTCATTTTTTTTACCAAAAAGAAAAAGGAAATTAATAGCTGTTATTTCAATAATTCAAAAATTTTATTCACCCTCTCTCTCTCTCTTTCCCTCCCATGCTATCACTTTCATACACATCGTCACCTTAGTCTCAGTCATTTCTAGGGTGTATCTCGTGTTAAATATGCATATGTCGCTATTATGTACTTAGAACATGCATCACTTTCATACAATCAAATATTATTTTCATGAATTCTCTTGTATTTATAAACATCATCCTCACTTATTTTCATTTTCATCACATAACATATATGCCATTATATTCAATCAATCGTATATTTCGAAAAACACATAACCTACCCCTAAGACTCTCTAGCAATACTAGATTTTCGACCATGAAATCAATTTTCTTTTCGTAGATCACAATTTTAAATTAAACCCAATATTTAGGACAGAGTTTACCCAAACTCCATTAACAATGTAAACTCTTAAAGAACAAAGGAAAAGTTTTTAAGAACAAAAAGTTTTGACCTTCAAAATGTAAAAGTCTTTCTTGATCATTTTACATTTTTTTTCATTAACCGGTTAAGTATTAAAATACCAAGTAAATCCACTATTTGAATTGAGATATGCGGTCGCATGCAACCATGACTTATGCTAACATGACAATAGTAAGACATGCCTATCTTTATTTTTCTTTAGGATGTGTATCACTTTCACACCTAACTACAAAGAGCGCGGAGTTGCAACATATTTAAGGTGGTTTGCAACAAAGGAGCTAAGGCTCGGGGATGGATTTAAAAGATGTAACGACCCTACTTCTAGCATAAGACTAGTGGAAGGATTTAAAAGAAAAAAAAAACGTAATTTTCTTTTTTTCTTAAACTATAAAATTCTTGGTCAAACCTTGAATCAACTATTTTTAAGCCCAATTTTTTTAAAACAGAAGCTGTATGAGTACAATTAACTTAATTGACCAAAACATCTCAAACGAGGATTGAGCCCAAAATTCAAAAGAACAATAATCTAAAAATTAATCTCATTTTATTATTTTGACGGTAGAATTTAAATAATCGATTAATTTCTGAAGAAGTAAAATGATAGACAAATGAATATAGTCCACCCAAAATGAATCACTAAGAACCTACTTTAGCAAACCAATAAAAAATATGGAAAAATATAGAAATAAATTACAAAATGAGATGAACGAACAAGCTTTAATTCATCTATAAAGTTTTATATTTATTCTAACTTAATTCCTACAATTATAAATGTTTTATGTCATTTTTTTTAAACACAAAATCGAAAAACTAAAACGAAAAAAAAATTGAAGGTATGAAATAGAGTAGCAAAAAAGAATGATGCAGGGAAGTGAATAAAGACGAACCTGCATTGACATTGGAACGACATGGAGGGTAAGACTTGAGTTGATGAAGAGATCAAAACAACCGGTGCTTGACGGTAACAGAAATCTGTGACAGCACCGGCGCCGGCGCCGGCGGATTGGGAAATGAAAGGAGATGAATCAGAGTGAGATCGATGAGGAAGGTGGAGAATTTGGAAGGGTTTTGTTTAAAATCCCAAATTTAGCACTCAGATTCTTGCATTGCATCATTAGCAATCATGAGCTTGTTCCTATGTTTTTTCTTTCACTCCTCTTAAATTGGTGAAGTTTTTTTAAAAAATAAAATAAATTTAATCTCTTAGTTAACGGGTTTTTAATAATATATATAAATAAGGGAGTTAAAAAGATTTTTGAAAGAGGATTTTAATATAAATCATCTTTAAAAAAAGTCAACTTTAAAGATAAAGTGTCTCGAGCGATTCTCCATCAATTTGATTAGATTTTGGTGTTCGTTGAATTCGCATCTACAATTAAAAGATATGAAGCCGTTTGTATTATTTTAAATCAAATCAAGGATGTTGGTATATTGATTTTTAAAATTTAATTTGCAAAACAAAATTAAAAGAAAAAAACGAAAAAGAGAAGTTACCCATGAAGAAAATAAAATTATAATTAAAAAAAAAAAAAATACACATGTGAGAAAACCCTAAAAAGTTGGAAAAGATGGTATGGGAGTGATGGAAAAAGGAGTAGCTTCTAGGCATCACGTGAAAGCAAAATGGAAGAAAAGAAGAAGAAGAGAAATAGGGGATTAGGGCATTAGGGCATTAGGGCATTAGGGCATTAGGGCATTAGGGTGGTGGCAGCACCAGTGGACTTTAATAATTAATAATCTCATGCCATAACACAATATAGGGTATAGCATTTTCAGCACCTTCATAATTATTAACCACCCGGGTCGACCTAAATATATTCAACTGTTTTGTGTTGGAAGAACAGAAGAAGAGAAAATTATGTTGGGCTAAGCTTGTATTTTGACATAAATAATGGTGAAACAACATAGTTTGTTGAGATTTTTATTCTGAGTTCATGAATTATTGACCATATTGGGATTGGAACATTTTGAAATTGGTAAACCTACAAGTCTAAGGACTGTAAATTCTCATAGATTATGATGAAAAGCATTACAAAGTCTTGTGTTGTGTTCATCATCATTACAACACACAAACACACAAGTATTTTAATCTAAATGCTTCATTTCCTCAAAACCCATTGTTAAGTTTGGGAATCCAAGTGAGTTGACAGCACTGCCAATTCACTCCTCATGTAATAATTCAACCCAAACCCTCCAAAATGGATAGCTTTTGGGTATACAGTTTGAGGCAAGAAATGGTAGGACTTCTTGGGGGGAGGAGAAGCACTATTGTTTGGGGGCCAACTCTTTGCAGCTCTCCCATTATGCCGTCTGGCAATGCCCCTTCAAACTTAACATAAACCAACCATTCAACAGATTTCACTGTTTTGGTCAGACCCCATTTTCAAGCAATAATTATACATTCTTACACTTTGCATTATTGCATTGTATTGTACCAGAGATGCCTCAAAGTGCAATTCAATGTGTCTGTGGCAGGGCAACTTTCAGATTCAGGGTAATTCTTCAAATTGAGCGAAAATGGCTTTTATTTTCAAAATAAAATATATTTTTGACACCTATTTTTGTGAGAACATGGGTAAATGTCCTTTATGCCCCCTAAAGCGGATAAACTATGAGCCTCTCTCGTTTCCGCCCAATTCTTTTTGTTTCTCGTCAATCCGATCCAGTCTGAAATTTCTCCCATTTCTGAGTTTTTCAATTCTAAAATCTTCAAAATCTTTCAAGTTTGGGCTTGTGGGCGGCGGAAGAGTCGTCGCCGGCAGTGGGTACGTCTCGGTGAAGGAAGCTGGGAGGAGAGGCCGGAGAGGTAGGAAGAGGTAAAGCGACAGAATTAAAATTTCTCCGCTACTGGTGCAAACCGATGAATTTGATCGGTCATCGGTAGCTCGTTCACACGATCTTTCTTCATCAAAATTGTTCCGCTAGGTAACTTCTCTGAAAATCTGTTTTGTTCTTCAATTTCCTGCAGTAGCTTGCTTGTTTTACCAGTTTGATTTTGCTGGATGTTTGGGAGTTGAACAGCCTAGCTGAGATTATAAAGATTTTAGGGGATTAGCTGAGATTATGAAATTGGGATTGTTAAGGTTAGGTTAATTCTTAGTTGAACCTCTGTCAAATTGAGGGTTTTCATTTCACTTCAGGAAGCATCTTATAACTCTGGAAATGGGATCAAGTAATGACCCTGAGAATCAAATGATGATAGAAGGAAATGTTGTTCAGGAAATGAAAATTGATCCGGAGAGTGCTCGGTTTCCATGTTGCATTGTGTGGACACCTCTTCCTGTTATTTCGTGGCTCATTCCTTTCATTGGTCACATTGGTATTGGCAGAGAGGATGGAGTGATCTTGGACTTTGCAGACCCCAATTTTGTTTGCGTGGACAACTTCACATTTGGAGCAGTCGCACGCTATCTTCAAATCAACACAGACAAGGTAACTTTCGATGGGAACCTCTTTCCCTTTTGAAGTTCTTTCGCTCACACGACTGATTTGATTGTCATCGGCTTCCAGTGCTGCATCTCAACTCATAGAAGTGAGGATGAATTCAGGGAAGTTGATAATGGTAGAGAAATATCAACATGGGATGATGCACTGCGGAGGAGCACTCAAGAATTCCAACACCGACCCTACAATCTCTTAACTTGCAATTGTCATTCCTTTGTTGCTAACAATCTGAACAGACTTGGGTTTGTCACAGGTGGATGGAATGTGGTAAACCTTGCAGCTCTGATGTTTCTCAAGGGTCGGTGGGTCAGTAAAGGAGCTGTCATCCGGACGTTCTTACCATTTGGTGTGGTATTCAGTATAGGAGTTGCAATGGGGGGTACTACATTTCTAACTTTCTTGGCATTCTTCACTTTCTTCCTGGTTGGTTGGTTCGTTCTTGGTACTTATGTCTTCAAAAATTTGGTTCAGTTGTAATGTTTCTACAGTATTTACAAATAATAATTGGACTCTGTGATTTTGATTCATTTTTCACAAAAGTTCTAAAGTGTTCTAAAGTGTTTGAGAGATATTTTCACACCATTATAAAGAATGTTTTGTTTGATTATCTTATGGAAGATTCGATCTCCTTTTGTGTATAGCTTTGGATAGACGAATGTTTGGGTTCTTTCTTCCACTAACACAATTTTCTTTCTTTCGAATTTTAGGAAATAAAGCTGGAAAATTAAATGACCATAATTATTAGGAATATATATATTTTTAAATAAAATGTATCCCCGTCAATCAAGCTTGGAATATGCCAATCCCAAATTGGAAGTGCCCACAGAGTTTTGTAATGTTAAATTACAAAATTTCATCTTAAATGATTAAATTAAATTAAAATGATTGTTTTATGAACATTTTTTGAACACATAAACATAGTATTTCAATATTGCTGGATAAGTGATGTCGAATAAATATCTCTTACGTGTAGAAGTTGAGAATTTGAAAAGATGGAGGGCCAAAATGAAAATATAGGATTTTTTTTTCTTTTTTTTTTTTTTATTTTCTAATTTAGAAGGGTGGTAATTTTAAAAGGAAAAAAGGAAGATATTTTTTAAAAAAAAAAGGAAAAAAGAAAAAAGAAAAAAAAAAAAAAAAGGAGGGGGGTGGAGTAAATGGGAATGGAATAGGGTGTCGAGGAAGAGTGGGGAGTGGCGTTATAAGGCGTGGCCGGTCCACTTTGGCCCTTTCGTCAACATCATCGTCACATTTCGCATTAACTCTTTTCCTCCCTTTCTCTCTGCCATTGCGGAGCCAAACCCAAGCATGACCAGCTCCTCCGACTCCGCTCGTAAGGTTGTCCCTTTTCTTCTTCCTCATAATCATCTTTATCCTCATCGCCATCGCCATCGCCATCGCCGTGTTTCATTCATCAATTTACTCTCATCTGATTCTGCTCCCCTAACTCTTCCTTTCGTATCTGATTTGATTCCTTTTCCAGGCTCTGAGTAAGATTGCTTGCAATCGGCTTCAGAAGGAACTGGTCGAGTGGCAGGTTAACCCTCCCGCTGGTTTTAAACACAAGGTTACCGATAATCTCCAGAGGTATTGCTTCTTCCCCTTTTCTCGTAGGGTTTTCTTTAATTCGTAATTTCTGTTTATTTGCCTTCTGCGTCATTGTTAGCGCTCTGGAAAGTAAGAAAAAGGCTGGAATTTGATGTAATAGCGTCGAATTGGTGTTGTTGGGTGCCTTGGGGCTTAGTTTAGGTTTGAGTGTGTCGTGCTCTCCCTATTTCGACAGTGGAGGTTCTTAATTTTTCTTTTCTAACCGAAGTGAGGTTTTCTTGTTTCTGTTCTTTGTCTGTAGTGTGTTCTGAAAGCAAATTTACTTTCTGCTTTTAGTAGGAATTTGACGTTCATTTTCTGGATTTTTTTATTTTTATTTTTTTTGTTGGAAGATGGGTGATTGAAGTCAACGGAGCTCCGGGAACTCTCTATGCAAATGAAACCTACCAGCTTCAGGTGGACTTCCCTGAGCATTACCCAATGGAAGCCCCACAGGTGTATAAACATAATCATTGAATTCTGAGATCATTTCTTCCATAATCCTGTGTAGTGTCTAAATTTATTGATTGTTGTGTGTTTGATTTTGTATACCGGTTTCATAACAGGTTATATTTCTGCATCCAGCCCCTCTTCATCCTCATATCTATAGCAATGGTCACATTTGTCTAGGTTGGTATATGGATAATTTTCTATTGCTTGTTCTTGTTGGATATTCTTTTCTTTGTGTGTATAGATTTCTTTGTGGTTATATCGTTTGCTTCACCATTTCACTCTATTTATGAGATTGCAATTATGCAGGAATATAAAGTTTATATTCTATTTCTTTCTTCACTCTATTGTTTTTGGTTAGATTTTTCTTTTCCATCTACCCTGTTTGAGCCTAATGCGGTCTATAAGGAGTTTTGTTTTTAGTATTTGTGTCAGGGGTCACACTTCAAATGGATGTACAATAATAGTAATGGTGTTTAATTGAATTCGACCCAAGAAGATATCTCAATTGGGGACATTAATAAATTTTTTACCATTCAGTGGCACGTTGCGTGTAAGCTTATCAGTGGTTCATCATGGAGAACCTGAATGATTTAGTGTTACAGAAAGGTTTTGATATATATCCTGTCCTATTAGGACAACGTGTTGCTTACATCTATTATGTTTAAAACTTTTCAATTACACAAAATAGAAGTATAAACTAGTCTTGCAATGAAAAATAAAAGAAAAAGGAGAGGAAGTGCTGCTTGATATTGGATTCCGTTCTTTTTGTTAATAGCTAGTGTGTATGGATGAAAAGATCCTATATGCTGAAAAGTTATTGCAGGATGAGTGTTTATCATGGTATTTACTAGGTGTTCATTGGTCGGGTTTGTTTTGAGATCTTTCAACCATTTGGTTATATGTCTATATATGTAATGAATAAGAACAGAACCATACTGCTCAACACTAAAATCCAAAACAATACCAATTCATCCATCAATATGTTTCTTTGTATCATTCGTAACTTCTTTCAATTGTTTGGGAAACTTTTGTTCCCCCCNCCCGAATGTTATGTTTGCTGATTGAAATGAAATATAAATACCATAAAGTTCATCAAATCTGCAAAATGAATAAAACTAATTTCTATTACATGTTAGATTGTAATTGTTTTATAACCTAAGTCTTTAAAACTTGACTTTAGACTTTACCGGGCATCATTTATCATGTAATATTTAAAATTATTAAGGTGTAAATATTCGTTTATTTTAGCAATCTAAGTTTTATTAATCTGTTTCGTTTGGTTTGCTTTAGACAGAAATTTATCAAGCTGAACCAAACTATCATTGTTGGTTTTGTTTGGTCTGAACAAAAGGAAAGGAATCTCAAACCAAGCCAATTTAGTTTGGATCATTGGTTTGGTCTTGAACACCTCTATCATTTGCAATGGATGTAGTTTGAAGGTGAAGTTGGAAATATGCTTTCTGCAACTTGCTAGTTGCTCAGATGCACATTACCTGCGAGATTGAGATGATGTGTTTTCTAATAATTTAATATGTTGGTGTTAAAGTTTCGTCTTGCCTTTTCCTCTCGAACATGTTTCTAACTATCGATACTGTTTGTTGCTCGTGCTTGTTTGAGTTTTGAATTCTATCCTAGTCGTGTATATCTATTGTATGGCTTTATTTATGGTCTATTATTGGCTGTCTGAGTCCTTAGTTATCACCTTCATACCAACACTGACCATTGTTATTTCCCTTCACTCTGAAACCGTGTAGATATTTTATATGATTCATGGTCGCCTGCAATGACTGTAAGTTCTATCTGTATCAGCATTCTCTCCATGTTGTCGAGCTCGACGGCAAAGGTCTGTTACACTTCATGCCACTTTGATTCTATTGTATAATTAATATGTTTTTCATGGAGGTGCTGGAGATAGTAACGAAATTGTTTAAGATAACTTGTAAGGACGTGTTATGTGTACTAACTTCAACCAGAATCCTTCTCTGATAGTCTAATGTTTTCTATTGCAGCAACGCCCTGACGATAACGACCGTTATGTAAAGAATTGTAGGAATGGAAGATCCCCGAAAGAGACGAGGTGGTGGTTCCATGACGATAAGGTGTAACAACGTAAGATCTTCCATTGTTATGCCTGTGGCTTCCCTTGTTTGTAAGGTGAAAGAAGTAGAAAGTGATTATGGAAAAAGAAAACCAAGTAAAGTGGTAAGGCCTGGCATTTGTAAAGGAAGATCAATTTATGTTTCTTACTAATGTCTAAAGAACAACTTCTCAAGTCCTTTCTTGGGGGTGGGTTATCCTTCCTGGATGAGAACCTCTTCTTAACAAATTTATAAATCATCAGTAATGCCTCCTTCCTCCTTCCTTTTACATCACTCTGTGTCTTTATCTAGTTTCAGTGAATATTATGATTTTTTTTGTAAATAAATCTTCATTGGTCGTAAATTCCAAATACTTAACACCCTATAATTAATAATACTTAACAAGTTCTTTTAATGAAGTAATACTTACCTCCTAATCCATTTTTATTAGCATGATTGCAAGTAAAGTACTTTTGTTGAAACCGTTTATGTTAAAACCAAGCTTCTAAACACCGACTGAGTTCTTATAAGAGTGTGAAAACTTCTCTTTAGTAGACATGTTTTAAAATCGAGAGGTTGACGATTGTACGTAACGGGTCAAAGCGGACAATATTTATTAGTTTTACACATAGCTCAATAGAAAGATATTTGTATAATACTATCGAATTTATTAAAAAATGGCTGGTCGAAGGGCTCAGATGTGGGCTCAGGTGCAAGGAACACAGAACAATGTTGAAAACCATAACACAAACATTACAGGAATTTGACAAAGAAAACATTACAAGAATTTGACAAAGAAAAACTAAATGAGAACACACTTCAGATGCAATACATTAAAAAAAAAAAATCTTGATCGTCCTAATTCTTGTTTACTCTCCTGCAGTTCTTTCTGATCTCTCCCCTTGAACCTGTGAGAGGAGAAATGTTCCCCATCTTAACCATGGACTTAGCAAATTGCTCAAAAAAGAGCTCTGAATTCTCTGCATATGTCCTCACCAACTCCGCTGATTGTTGGTTCTTTGTCAAGAGGACTTGATCTGAGTTTAGCAAACCCTTTCCAGCCAAAAGGTTCTTGAAGTAATAGTTGTCAAATTTGGTCGGGCTGACAAAGTCCAAGAAAAAGAGGTTCTGATCACCCCCTGATCTTGGGCATCGTCTGCGCAATTCAGCAGCGTACGATGGATCGAGTGAAGGGTCAGGCTCAGCATTGCCAGATTGGTTGTAAAGCCGTTGCCTGAAGCTAGTGCATCGAGAGTTTCCAATAGTGTGGCTTCCTGTATTCATTTATTAACAAAGTCGATAAATTATGATATATTCAAGCTGGGGCTGGCTCGTAAGAGACAAGGGAGGGAAGTTTTACCTGAAAGAGCAACAAGATCAACAATATCAAGGCCCTGTCTCATGAATCTTGTGAGAATGGTTTGGAATGTGTTGTTTGGAGCTGGGATGTGATTGTTAGACCCACTTAGACTTGCTCCTCTCGAGTCCCTCCTTCCTAGCGGGACTTCCCAACTGGGCCCTCCTGTCTTTATCACACAGACTCTCAGCTTAAAACAAAACAAATACGACTGACTACTCGTGCAAAAGTTAGAAGCCTTACTATGACGGTGGAGTCTCTTGAAGCAATGGCCAAAATATCAGCGCAAGAAACAGTTTGTGGACACTCTTTTTCTAAGGCAGATTTGATCTCATCAATCACTTCAAATCCTCTAGCAGAGTTCCTATTTGGATTGGACCTTTTTTCGCTAGCAATTTTCCCACTGCTATCTAACAACAGTGAAGCATCACAGCCCTGAAAATTATTTGATGTTAATGACAAACATAATGCATCAAAATTGTGTTTTTTTAAAAAAAAAAAAAAAAAAAAGAGATGGGTAGTAGATAGTTTGAATAACCTTGACGAAACAATCATGGAAATGAAGCCTAATCAATGAAGCAGCAATCCGAGGTTCCTTAGCAAAAGCCTTAGCCACAATGGACTTCACAATGTCTTGAGCCATTGGACAAGAATGGTCATAGAATTGAGGGTACAAATAACCGCCATAACCATAACCATCGCCGCCGCCGCCAGGTCTGTGAGAGAAACAAACCGAAGACAGAGCAAGAAGAACAAAAACAAAGACAAAGCTTGTTGACGGAGCCATAATGTGTGTCAAGAACTTGTAGAAAACACCTCGACAAGGAAACTTACAAGCTTGCTGCAATTAAGATTGGGAGTGTCAATTTATAGAGAGGGACTGTTCGTGGAATAGTCTTCTCTAAAGGGAACTAATAATCAAAGGAAGCCAAAAAGTTGGATTTGGTGGCTAACTATTAAAGCTTAACGTAACAAATAAATAAACAAATAAAGAAAGAAAGGGGTTTGGAGTTGGTAATTTTGTATGGACGAGTCCTTGCTAGGCCTTATACTCCACCGGTCATTGTAGTTGGGAAGCTCTAGCAACTCACCTGTTCTAATTATTTGATACCTTACCTTCTTGGTCAAATAAGAATTTCTTAGAATTGAACTTGTAATTAAGCTAAATTTTTAAATTGTTTATATTTGGACGGATTAGTTGAATACAAGGGTGGGTGGGAAGATGGTATTAAACCAAGGTTCAAAGTTGAAAGAGATGGCATTTTGAATAGTGATTTATTTAACTAAACCAAAAGGAATTTGGAGGAAAGCAGTTGAATGTGCCCCCCACCCCCACTTTTTGGTGTCTTCCCTTCAATTTCCAACTATTATTAGTACAATCATCTAAACCCATTTGGGGTTATCTTCCTTTGCACCCCATCAATCCATTTTTTTCATTCTAATTTAACCTTAAACAGGCAATTATTATAATCTTACGTATTTTCTTCTTTCATGCATAAATTTACCTTTTGAAAAACTTTGGCATCTTTTTCGCTGTATGCACTCGAGTTACTTTGGTAAAATTATGTACGATAAATATATGAGAACCAAACAAATTTATGGTGCTCGTTACTTAGGTTGGATCGAGTTCTATGCCTCTAGAGTTATATTGTTATGTAATGAATGATAAGTTGGGTTTATCGACAACGTTATTACATACAATTGGATCGTTAAAAGTTTATAATATAAACTTAGGTCCTCTTGGATTAGTGAGAGGTCAAATTTGAAGTCTGGAAATGAATTGTTGAGGGGATTAGAGGTGATCCTCCCAAACTCTTTGTTGGAGGGTGAAAGTTGAAACCAAGACTTGCGCACGCCAGCTGTAATAAACTATGAAAAGTATTGAACACCACACCCACACTTTTTTTTTTTTTTTTTTTTCTCAAAGACTTTTGGGAAAGTCTTCAAAAAAAAAACAAACCGACACTATCCCTATGTAATGTCCGGGATTTGAAATTTAGATTTGACACCTGATGTCTCCAACATTCTTTTTACATTTTATCTCCACATACCAACTCGAGTTGTTTTCGCATGCTTTGAAAATTTCTAAACCGGTCACCCAAAATGTAATTACTTCAAGTAAAATAAACTTGATTATGTAGTTTCTGTGATTGAGTTACGGGATTGCTCTAATTCGGATGTGGTTTTGATTAATTCATGTATTCTTTCTTTACTCCAGTGTCACACCTTGAAAGATTCATTTCAAAGTAAGTCGTCTAAGACACTTGTCTTACAATGCTCACCCTCATGCGACACACGTATGCGCTACAAGGTAGCTCACTTGGCTACAGGGCTCATGCCTCTCCCAAGATACATTTTGAGGCATGTTTTGTATGGAAGAAATATACATGATTTTGGTGAATGGTCATACAATCTCGTGGAGCGTTCATTTGGTGTCCGATCAACACCAAACTTGACGAGCATTCATGTTTCATACATGCATAACTCGAGAACCACTCCTTCCAAAACCCCAACTTTTGAGCACCCTCCTTGACCCTTTATCAAGTCTATCTTTGTCCCTTATTTTGACATAATTGCCTCTATCTTCCTTATGCCTCACCTTAGTTTCAATGCACATCTTTTTAGTGGGTTGGATAATGCACAATACTTCTCGTTATGCATTATGCCACTGGGCTGTCATTGTGTGAGGGTCACAATCTATTCTCTACTATGATTATGATATCCTCCCCCACTTAAACTTGTGATCGCCGTGCATGATTTTCGCGAAAACACAATAATTTTATGGAGGGGGACTGTTGACGCTTAGAGAGAGACATTATTCCAATTTGTGAGTGCATTGGAGGTCACCAATGACCAAATCATGAACCCCAATACACGAAGCAACCCGTTTATGGGCATTTAGGGTTAGAATATGAAATTTTATCCCTCTCTCTCTCTAAAACGAAACTAAAATATTCAGAAAGGGTGGCAATGGTTGGGAAAAAGACAGCAAGAGGAGCACTCCAATGGGTACAAAAGCTGAAGAAAAAGGATGACACATTAAAGTGAGGCCACATAATTGGTCCTTCCTCTCTAAAATCCCTGCAATCTGATGCCCAACTACATTAGGATTCCCACTTTCTTTCGTTCCTTTTCCATTTTTTCTACCTACAAACTTGAGCAATGTTTTGTTTTGAGTGATCTTACCAACATTATTTTAATCATAAACACTTTCATTCATAGTGTTTAATGACACAAATCTTGTTTTTTCTTATTTAAATAAAAGACCATTAAATGAATGAGTTGAGTGAGATTCTTCGTTTATGAGAAACAACCCCTTTGAAGCATCCAAGTTTTTTCCCGATCAAACCACCACCGCCGCCGCCGCGAGATGTTTTCAACAAAAGAGATGCCATCGCCACAGTCGTTATTCTCAGCCTACGCCTCCATGGCTGGATCCCTAATGCTATTCCGTTCAATGGCGAACGATCTCATCCCAGCCCCTGTCCGCTCATACATTGGCGCCGGAATACGCCGCTTCTTCAACTCCCACTCCTCTTCTCTGTTCACCCTCATCATCGAAGACACCAACGGAATGTCCCCAAACCAAATCTTCGACGCCGCCGAGACCTACCTCTCCACTAAAATCACCTCCGACACTGCGCGCCTCCGCATCACCAAAACCCCAAGAGATAAACACCCAGCTCTCCGCCTCGAAGCGGGCGAGAAATTAACCGATTCCTTCGAAGGAATCTCCCTCTTATGGACCTTCAATTCCCATGGTCAAGACAAAAACCTCCAGGCCCCCAAGGACATCACCACTCTGTCTCCACTAAAAACAGAGCACCACTACTTCGAGCTGAAATTCGACAAAACCCACCGACGCAAAATCATCAATTCCTACATCCCCTTCATGCTCGAGCGCGCACTGGCCTTGAAAAACGAAGAGAGAGCTCTGAAAATGTACACGATAAACAGCTCCGGGTGCTTCAGCGGGAAATGGGAGTCGGTGAATTTGGAGCATCCGGCGACGTTCGAGACGGTGGCGATGGAGGCGGAGGCGAAGAGGAAGGTGATTGAGGATTTGGAGAGGTTTTTGAAGAGGAAGGAGTTTTATAAGAGAGTTGGGAGGGCGTGGAAGAGAGGGTATTTGTTGCACGGACCGCCGGGGACTGGAAAATCAAGCTTGGTGGCGGCCATGGCTAATTACTTGAAGTTTGATATTTATGATCTGCAATTGGCGAATGTTCATCAGGATTCGGATTTGCGGAAGCTGCTTTTGACCACAGGGAATCGGTCTATTTTGGTCATTGAGGACATTGATTGTACCGTTGAGCTGCCGGATCGCCGGCCTGGTGATTGGTCCAGGAATCCTTCTGAAATTCAGGTCACTCTGCTCTCAATTTCTTTTCAGTTTTTCACAAACTAATTTTAACAAAAATAAATAAACTTAAATTTGTGAAATGTAGAATTAGAAAGTTTGTAGTAATTTAAGTTTTAATTTGGAGTTAATCAAATCTAATATAAGTAAAATTCTTACTCAATGCCATTAGTTAAACTCTGAAGTCACTTTTATAAACACTTTTTAAAGGTCAAGTCTCCACCGTCCTTTTCAGCGTGCCAAACTTTCACATGTTTATTTTAAATACAAAGTGCTCTCGAAAGCGTAATTAGAGAAGGCTTAGTGGAGGATAATTTTGATTAATTAGACCATCATGATCCAATTTGTTATTTATATGATCCAAAATCACATGTAATTAATAGAAAAATGAGGGAGGCGTGGGGATATTGTAAGTAAAGCAAATCTTGTTTGTGCAGCTCACATTGTCAGGTCTGTTGAACTTCATAGACGGGCTATGGTCCAGCTGTGGTGACGAGAGGATCATAATCTTCACGACCAACCACAAGGACCGGCTGGACTCGGCGCTTCTCCGGCCAGGGCGAATGGACATGCACATCCACATGTCCTACTGCACCATCCATGGCTTCAAGCTTCTGGCCGCCAACTACCTGCAAATCCACACCACCCACCGCCTCTTCCCGGAGATCGAAACCCTTCTCGATGCCGCCGAGGTGACGCCGGCAGAGATCGCGGAGGAGCTGATGAAGAGCGAGGACGCTGAGGTGTCCCTTCAGTGCGTGGTTAAGCTGCTGAAGAGGAAGAAGCTGGAAGAGGAAGAGAATGGTAATGGCGAAGAAGAAGAAGAAGAAGAAGAAAAAGGTAAGTTGAGAGCGGCGAAGAGATTGAAAGTTCAGCCGAAGAAGAAGGTGGCGGGAATGGTTACGAGAAGGAAGTTTCTGAGACGCTGAAATTAATTTCTACAACACTTTGAAAATAAAACTCTTGATGGATTCGAGAAGAAACAACCTTATTTTATTTCCGTTCAAATTGTTTGGATGTTTTTTCCTTTTCCAATTTAATACTTATTGTTTAATAATTTTTAATTAACCATTTTGTTGTAAGTGAATTTATGATCATTAGCTAATTTTTAACTTAGACTAAAACGTTTAAAGTTTGAATATATCACCTTACATTTAAAATCATATTTTTAATCTTTGAAAATAAGATGAGATGAGGTTTGTAAACTCTGTTTTCAAAGAAGTTTAATAAACTCCTATTTAAAAAAAAATCAATCAAATCATAAATCAATTCTAATTAAGTTAACTTTTACCATCTAAGCAGTGAAAGATATACAAACACAGTTTAATCTATATTTTAAATATGAGTACTATTGTGTTAAAATAAAAAATACTCCTAAAATATTAATAATAAAATGTATTTTTTAATTTTTTTTAGGTGAACTGCCATACCCAAAGAATTTAAGTCGGTTGAAAAAATTAGTACTCAAGCCAAAATCTGTTTGAAATCAATATTAAGTATTTTCCAATCAAGCCCATTCGACGAGGATCTTAAGGTGTGGTGTGTTCTTCTACCAACCAACAGACCAACGAGAAGATGGCTATCAATAAGATTAAAAATGTGTTTGAGAATCGCTTCAAAGCTTTGAGAACGCTTAGGGAGATGAAGCTTTTGAGGCACATAAGACATGAGAACATGATTGCTTTGAAGGATGTGATGATGTCCACGCATAAAAATAGCTTTAAGGATGTGTATTTGATTTACGAGCTCATGAACACGGATCTTGATCAGATTATCAGATCGTCTCAGCCCCTTTCAAATAATCATTGGAAGTGTTTGATGTATCAGGTATGGATTCTGTATTCGATCTCTTTGTTTTGTTTGAAAATGTTTTAGTTTTTCGTTATAACGTGCGCTTGTAAGGAAAAGAGAGGACGTGTGAATATGGTGTAAGAATTCGATGTCATGAAATTTTTGTACATGAATTTGATGTGCTACAACTCTCAGTTCTGATTCTAACGTTACTATGTATTATAGTTGCTTTCCGGCTTGCAGTATCTTCATTCAACCAACATTCTTCATTGGGACTTAAAGCCCGAGAACCTCCTCGTCAATGCTAATTGTGATATGAAGATTTGTGATTTCGGGTTAGCACGGACGAGCAAAGGCCAGGACCAAGTCATGACCGATTACGTTGTTACTCGCTGGTATCGTGCACCAGAGCTTCTCCTACCCTGTGACAGCTATGGGACTTCCATTGATGTGTGGTATGTGGGTGCATCTTTGCTGAGATTTTGGGTCGTTCCCTGGGACGAATTGCCTCAACCAACTAGAGTTAATCATCGAAGTTCTCGGTAGTCCAAAGGAAGCAGATATCAAGTTCATTGATAACCTAAAGTCCATACAGTTTATCAAAGCTATGCCTTTCTCAAAAGGGGTACAATTTTCAGATCAATATCCACAAGTTGATCAATTTTCAGAAGATGCTTGTGTTTGACCCGAGGAAGAGAATTACCGTTAATGAAGCACTTCAACATCCATACATGTCTGAGTTATACGACACAGAATTCAATTCTACAAATGAGGTTCCCTTCAGTCTCGACATCGACGAATCACTTGATGAGCATGAGATCAGATAAATGATATTAACTGAGATGCTCTATTATCATCCTGAAGCTGGTCCAACGTAGACATATAATTATGTTAGATATAATTATGAATTATGTTGGAAGAAATACTATCTAAATATAATTTCATACATTTGACATGCGGTAATCTAATGTACTAATTCATCAGTATAGTTTTGAGGACTTTCATTAATATTAAATTGATGGTAACACAGCTACAACATTTATTAATGTTTTACATTTTTTCATCGAAATCAAATCAATATTTTAATGTTGTTTTAGGTTCAAATATTAATAGATGGAATATGAATGCTTAGCGAGATTGGGTAGAGTCCAATTAAAAATCTAGGCCGGGCTAGACTTATTATTTTTATAATTAAATATCAAATTTTAATATACTTATATTAATTTATAAATTTAATCCTATTATTTTTTAATTAAATATTAAGTTTTAATATTTCAAGTCAAATTTTGAACATTAACATTTTTAGTTTCTTTTAAAATTGTAATGACTATATATTATACATTTTTATTAGATTTTTAAAATGGTAACCACTATATATTATACATTTTTATTAAATCTTATGAAAACTCATAAAATTAAATTTTATAAGTTATAATGTTTTTAAAAGAAATTTATTAATTTTTTTTTAATTTTTTTAATAAATAAATAAATAAGAACTCCTTCCCAAATTATTAATAATAAATTTAGAATTAAAATTTGTAAATTATATTTCGTAACAGGAAATAGAAGGATAAGTCAAGATCAAAACCAAACCGTGTTAAATATATATATATATATATATATATTTTTAACCTAAACTTACCATTTAAATTCATCAAAATCTTTATATATATAATTTAAAATTTTAATTAAGGTAAACATATTTAATTATTTTGATTGCAAAAGATTTAGTCAATTATAAGTGATAAAATGTGAAAACTGTTTACTTGCTCATATTAATTTGGTATATTTATAGATGGGAATATTATAAATAATAAGTCTATAATATTTTAATAATATTACACACTTTTCATATTCTTCGGCACATCATTTCTCTTTCCAATTAAGTTTTCTCATAATTTTTAATTATTTTATTCTTTATTAATAATTCAAATTTTCACATGATATCAATAGCTAAAGGATGATAGATGTATAACATATAAATATAGATGAAATATATAAATGAATTGGTATCTAAATCAGAGTCGATAGTTATTATCTATATAAAACGTGTACATAGGGTGAGAATTTTCAAACTAAGCATATTTCAAAATAATATTTATTAGACTATATGCTATAAAATTTTCTAAAAAATATTTATTAAACGGTTATAAATAACATTAAAAATATTTATGTTTAAAATGAGGTAAAATACTGAGTTAGTAAGTAAATTACGATAATGCTTTGCATTTTTTTTAATATTATAGGATATCCTTTTCGGACAAAATGAATACTCCTTCAAGTACTTCTATGTTTTCAAACCTTTTATACCTATATAAATAATTATTTCAAAAATTAAAACATTTTTTTTCTTTTATACCATACTTTATTTATTATTAAAAAAGAAAATATTTTTATCAAAATAAAGGGGAGAGATTTGATGTATGACACAATAAATTAAACCCACTCATTTCAAAATTAGAAAATAGAGTCAAAAACATATTTGAAAATTTTAAAATGGAAGTTTTGATGGTCCAAATCCAATGGCCACCAAACGGAGAGGGATAACCCACCAACCCAAACTTTATCCGGCCCTGTCTTTTTCGCCTTTTGACCATGTTGAAAATGTGGTAATGAGTTTTTGTTTCAAATGACTAAACCTTAAAAGGTAAGGATTCTATAGCTGATGCTTCTAGGATTCGGATGCATCCTCACATACCAACTCAAGTTTTTTCGGTATATTTTGTTCTCACTCGCATGTATTTTAGTAAAATTCTACACTAAAATTCAGAAGAGGTCGCCCTACACTAAAATTCATAAGAGGTCACCTACCCAAATTGATTAAGGTACTTAGAAAGGTAGACTCACCTTGTTAGTATAGGTAGTAACTTTTGTTTCCTTCAAATATTTTTTAGTCAATCTTATCCTCATGATGTGATCTCATTCATTCATGTACCTCTCATCTACTCAGGTGTCATATAATAGATCTATGACTATTCAAATTTATGTCCAATAAATATCTGGATTTTAAAAATTATTTTTATATCTAATAAGTCTTAAATATTTTTTAGTTATAAATTTATCTAAGAGAGTTAAATCTTTATCACAAAAACATTTTTTTTACCTTATTTAATATTTTGATATGATTGTGTGCTAAACTAGTTTTTAGTTTTTAGTTAATCCACATCCGTTAAGTTTGAATGGTGTCATGATAATTGAGATTAATAATTTTAATTTGATAAATTTAAAATATAAGATTAAACTTATTCCCTCACCATAGTACAAACTACAAATTAAAAATGAATTTTTGTTCCGGTTAAAAGAAAGTAATTGGGTTTTGCATGAATGAAGGAGGAGAATATTCCAATTTTAGGATAGAAGCATCTCTCATGAAGAATATTCCATTTCAAGGGATTCGTGGATGAAGAGAAAAAATTTCTGCTTAATTTCCTTTATAACTAATTAACCTAAATTATTTAAAAAGCAATCTTTTAGAAAAAGTCAAATTTATTTATCCACCAATAATAAATTATCCTTTCAAAATTGACGATTTAGATCTTGATATTCAATTAACGTGGATTATGGGCTAATTTTGAATTGAAAATAACTTTTTGTTTTTAAAGGAGACGTGAGTGAATGAACTTCTTATTTGAGAATATAATTTTATTGTGTACAAGTGAAAAAAATATAAAATTAGAATAAAGTTTTTGATTAGCATCATAATCAATAAGTTTACTTTTTTAATTTATAAATTAAAAAAAAAAGTCTTAAATGTATAACTGGCCGTTCGAGTTCGTGAGCAGCATTTTTGCGCGTGGGAGTGAACGTGAGATGACTCATCCCACATTTCCACTTTTTCTTATTATTTAATTTCTTTTTAATATTGGAAAATAATTAATTGTTTTTTCACAATTTTCTTTATATAAAAATATAACCTAATTTGTTATGATATAATCAACAAATATAATAAATTAAAACAATTATTTAGAAAACTCTGCTTATAAATAAAAATTAATAAAAAAATTGGGAAACAAATCTTTATAATTATAATTATAACTATTATACTTATATATATATATATATGATGCAACAGGGCAGCTTCGCTCATTTTCCTGATTATTTTATTTACATTGGGCGTTTTGGTTTCTATAAAATCAGCTCCCATTTCTTCCCAAAACCTCTCCTCCTCCATTTCCTCTCTGTAATCTCTCTGTTTCTCCTCTGTTTTTTTCCCCAGAAAACTTGCAGGTGTTTTTTAATGTTTCCATTCTTGTTCTTTCATGCTTTGTATTCATGTCTCCTGTAGTCAGTGAGATCCTTCTCTCTGGTTACATTATCAACTCCACTCTCCGCCGCCGCACCCATCTCGTTCAGTCTTTCTCTGTTGTATTCCTCTACTGGTTCTACGTCTTCTCATGAACTAGCCTCCCATTTCCCTCTTTCAATCTCCTAAATTTTCCACTAGTCGAACGAAATTACCATCTGGGTTCTTTAATTCGTGCCATTTCAAGCAAGACCCATATCGAATTTCCATCCCCTTTATCCAAAAGAAGAGACTACCTACCTTCTCTGTTTAAAACACGACCGGATTCAATGGCGTCTCCGGTAGGAAGTTCATCAGGATCTCCGAGCTTCGACGAAGATCTGCGACTAATCGTGGATCAGAGGAAGAGGAAGAGAATGATATCGAATCGAGAATCGGCTCGCCGATCTAGGATGCGAAAACAGAAGCAGGTCGACGATCTGACGGCTCAGGTGGGCCAAATCAAAACAGAGAATGAGCAAATCGCCGTCAACATCAATTTCACCACCCAACTTTACCTGAATCTGGAGTCGGAGAACTCGGTGCTCCGGGCACAGATGGGGGAGCTCCACTACAGATTGGACTCGCTGAACGAAATCATAAATTTCATAAACTCGAGTACTAGAAACCCGTATGATCCCGAGCATTATGGTGAAGTTTCTGGCATTGATGGGTTGGTTGATTCTTGGGGATTCCCCGTTCTCAACCAGCCAATCATGGCCGCTGGTGACATGTTCATGTGCTGAATCAAAAAAATGAAAAAAAAAAACGAACAAAAACAGGGTGGTTTCATCATTGTTATCGGTACTTGGGATTGTTTAATATGGATAATGTTCTACTTTGAAATGTAATGAATGTAGCTTCAATGATAATTATAAGTTTAATTGGAAAAATGGGAGGCCCCATCCGTTGTTCTTTTACCCATCTGCTCAATTTCATATAAAAAAAAAGTTAATCAATTTTTAGAATGCATTATAGCATTTTGGAAGCAAAAGAGGGGGCTTTCTTATGGACTCTTTATAAGTTTGAAGGGTCCATTTTGTAGGAAAGGAGAAATAAAAGAGCTAAACAAATGAACATTATTGAAGAGAGAGGAAAGAAAAGGATTTATTTGGTCATGAAATGATTGGTTGGCGTGTTGTTGGCTTCGGGTTTGCATGGAAATATATGTATATTATAAATATATGTTTCTGGAGAAAATAATGCAAAATTGATTGGAAGTATTAGGTAAGGAACAAACTGGAATATAATTGGAGCGCCCAAGTGGAGGAACCAAACACACGATGTTATTCCAATTATCAATTATAACATTATTGAAACGATGATGATGCAACACCAAAATTCTGATCATCTTACCTCTTTTTTCCTTCTTCCCCATCCCAAAAATAAATAAATAAAACAAACTTAGCCACAACCTACAAAAATTATGATGTTTGTTTTTGAATTCTACAAGTGGGGCATGACACCGGTTTAGGTTCAATTTTGAAAAATTAAGACTATAGAAAATAGGCTAATCTTAGTAATAAGTGGACAATATGTATAAAAATCATAGTTCCCAAGTGATCTATATTTGGTGAATGAAGTTCATCTTATGTGATTTCGTGAATTGAAGTTAGACTTTATAAATAAAATCAACTCTAGTTGTTACTCGATTGTTTTTTTCGTTTTTTCTTATTCTTAAGATCTACCCACAAGTTGGAGTTGTATTTACGCTTCACTGACTTCGAATAAAATTCAAATAAAAAAATGAAAATATATATTCATTATTTAAAAAGTTAGGGTAGGAATATCAATCATGTTTATGCTTAATATAATAATATGCATATTCAAATAAATTATTATTACAAGCAGTTGAAGGGTATTTTATTACTTTCCAAAAAAAGAAAAAGAAAAAAAGAGAGTTAGGGGTCATAATTATTAATTAATTATTTTAAGCTCAAGTAGTGAAGTGTGATTAATTTATTAATTAATTATTTTAAGCTCACGTAGTGAAGTGTGATTAATTTATTAAAATTACTACATTGGAAAATTTGATTTTATACTCCAAATTTCAACCTACGACAAGCAGTCACCTCCCTTCCTATTTTTACACGCATGGCTTGATGACTTCACAAACACATCCTAGATCCCTTTGGATTGGCTTCTTTTTTTAATTAAAATACTCATAACTACCATTATTATACACTAATTTACTAACTCTATAACATGTCGTGTTTTAAACTATACTCATTTGTGAATGTATTTTAAATTATACTGTGCATTAATTGCACTATAGGGTTATAGGCATGATGACCTCCATTTTGGTTTTGAGACTCAATTATAGGTTAGATTATTAGTGTTTTCGGATTTAATTAGGTTTACATGTTAAATAATCATATTTTAAGTAGGGTCAAAAAGAGTAGATGAGTTGTGTTTTACTTCCTAATTAATGTTCAATTAGGGTCATAGTACTCATTAACAGTAGAGGGTAACCGTTCAAGTTATCTTTGAACTTTTTTTTCTTAGCTTCGCTTTCCTCCTATTATAAAACTCGTCCATTTAATAAACATTTTTCACATCTTTATAAGAAAATGATTCAATTTATAAGAAAATGATTCAATTTTTTGGATCATGTAGTTAGCTAAAGATTTCCACACCCTGTACCCAATAACTACGAGAACCAGTAGCACAATCTGGAACCGACCATACGAGGAATTCATGGCAATTACTACCATTTTTGCTCTACTGCCACCGCGCTCTTATTCTTATTTTAGACGTCTCAAAGATGAGTTTTTTTAAAAAATGTGGAAACTAGAAGGTTCACGCGGTCAAAACAACTTTGTAGTTCTAAATATCCAATCAAATCACTCCATCTGACCGACTCAAATGCCAGCCAGCAACATCATCTCCATTGCCGACATGACACTCACACCTGTCCTCACCATCACTCCCCACGTGGCTTTCCTACACTACGTGTCAAATAAACACCTTCCCTCCTTGGATTACATGCACGTGTTTCTCAAACTTTATCTACTAACTCCATCTCTATTTAAATCTCACGATCTTTACTTCAAAACATCATCCAAATTCTGAAACTTGCTGAATTATTTGTCATCCATCCATCTCTGTTTTGTTTTTTGGGTTTTGAAAAATGTCGCATTTCCAATCTGGAACCGATCAGTATGGCAACCCCGTTCGCCAGACTGATGAATATGGCAACGTGATCCACGGGACCGGTCAGCACGTCGACCCGCATCACCGGACCGGTGAGTTCCGTGATACGGATCAGTATGGAAACCCGGTTCGGCGGGGCGGGGAGTACGGTGAACCGATCGGCACTGGTGGGACGTATGAGACTGGTGGCCACGGTGGCGTGGGTTATGGCGGAGGACACCAGCAGCAGCATAAGGAGCATGGGGGTATACTTCGTCGCTCTGGAAGCTCCAGTAGTTCCAGCTCGGTAAAATTTAATGTTATATGATTACTTTCATACACCAGTGTAAAAGAAACGATTTTTGAGTTTATAATAATAATAATAATAATAATGAGGTTGAAATTTCAGTCGGAAGATGATGGGCATGGAGGGAGGAGGAAGAAGGGGCTGAAAGAGAAGATAAAGGAGAAGCTGCCAGGGCATCATGACACGGCGCAGCAGCCACAGGCAACATCAACCACCACACCTGGCGGGTACTCCTCGGTGGAGCACGGCGGCCAATACGAGAAGAAGGGGATAATGGATAAGATCAAGGAGAAGTTGCCGGGACATAACTGAGAGGCGTCGCCCACCATATCTGGGTGTAGATATGATATTAATAAAGTGATAGCTGTGCGTGTAATGGGGACTTGTGTAGTGTGAGAGTTGGTATGGCTAAATAACGAGGGAGCGTGGTGGTCGGTTTGTGGTTGCTGCGTGTATTATGTCATTTATGGGTTTGATATATGTACGTCTCGTTTGTGTTCATCTATCTTCTACTTGGCCTGTTTTACGTTTCAAATCTACCTTCTTTTCCAACCTATAATTGCTAGAATCATAACCCCATAATACAAGATCAAATCATCCTTACGGGGATTTGATGATCAATTCTAAGTAATTATAAGGATGTTGAGCATCATAAAATTTAATCATCCGTAGGGATTAATAAATTTACTACATTTGGAGCACTAGAATTAAGATAATCTAAGGCTTAGGGGAAATATCCCAATAAAGTTTGAAGTAGACAATGTTTCAAAAATGATTAGCCTATAAAAACCATGAATCCTAATTAGGAGGTAGGAGATAATGTTACGGATTAAATAATAATAATTATTATTAATAATAGATGTGTATATATTTTTGTATAAGAGGAGAGATAATGTGAATATTTAAAATATTCTTACGGACTAAAAACTAAAAAAGGAACTCACCACAATGAACCCAATTTTCTAGCCCCAATTTCACCCTCCCCGAACGTTGTCACTCACTGGAGCTCACCGCCAGCGCGACCATTCTCTTGAATCCCAGACCTGACGGTTTCCACACCGATTGGATTTTCTGACGGAACGGATCTTACGGTAAGGGTCGCTGGATCTACCTGCTCTGGCTGGGTTGTGAGTAACAAAATCAGTATGTTCTGGACTGCAATAAGGTATTTCGCGACGAAGCCGAAGCCGAAGATGAAGCCGATAGAGTTGAAAACTCCGCCGGAGCAAACGCAGACAATCACTAGAGTCATATTCGACATCGTTAGGGAGCATGGTCCGCTAACCATAGCCGAAACTTGGGATCGCGTTCAGGTAAGCATCATATTCCTGTTTCTGTTCCGTCATTTTCATGTTTCGCTTCAATTTTATTTCGATTTCTTCATCTCATCTCTATGAACTGTGGAGATTTATTATTCTATATGAATTAGATTCACATAGAAATCAGAATGATGGAAGACCGCTATAGAGTAGATGCTTTGATCATTTCAATTGGGGTTTAGTTGTGACCGTGAAGAATAGTTCGAAATGAGAATTCGGCTTTGCTTTCTTGTTGAATTAATTGTTCAAGACAGTTTCGTCTCAGGAGAAATGTTGCCTCTTTCCAGCATTTTAGGCTTCAAAGTCCTAAAAAATTAGTGTTACATTTAACCCATCCAAATGCCTCAGAAGTTCATACTTTCATAGATGATGGGCTCCCAATGTACCCAGTCTGAGTTGCTCTTTAGAAATGAAGGACACAGTTGTAAAACCTAATTAACAGATCCTGTTCAAGTAAGGTCGGAAGTCTGAGTTGCTCAAATCCTAGTCAAATGACCATTGCCGTATTTACAATTAACAAAGGGGATGATTGATGAAAGTGCTTTTAGCTTTTGAGTTGGTTTCTGTGTTGAAGGGTATAGGTGTAGTCATGTAACATAATAGCTCAACTAGAATGGGAAATGTCACAGTTCCGGGTACTGTTTGTTCTGTAACTTGTGCTATTTTGTTAGAAAAAATCTTTATACGTAAATGGTGTTGTAATGAGCTGACAAGCGTCCATTTATTTTCAGGAAGTGGGTTTGAGAGGATTAACAAGCAAAAGGCATATGAAAATAGTGATGAGATGGATGAGGGAACGGCAGAAGTTAAGACTGTTGTGCAATCACGTAGGACCTAATAAGCAGTTTCTTTATACCACCTGGTTCACAAAACCCAACTTCGGACAGGCAAAGCCACAGGGGCGTAATTCTTCCCAACCCAAGAGCCCTTGAGTGCCTGCAAATTACCTGTAAAACTGCGACTGTTTCTTCTTTTTAATGGAAGCTGTTCTTTGATTATTACACAAGTGATGTCTTTATAGAATGAATGACCAATATCGAAACGATTTAAATACTGACATTTCTTTTGTGTATAATGCTAATTCCTTAATCTTAGAACAATATGTGATAATAGATTGCATCAAGGGTAGTTAATCAGTTGATATTCCTTTTGCTTCTGTTTA